TCACTCATATAGATCTGAATTTGTTTTCTCTTGATAAATGGTAACCTACAGTTTTGTATAATGGCAATGCAATTTGTGATAGCTAATTCATGGCAACTGGCTTCTAAGACAGTATGTGAAAGTGAACAGCTGTAAGCTAATAAATATCAAGAATTATTAAATACACTTTTTTTTCAAATGTAATACTCACCCATTCCTTACATATATTTTTTCTGTTTTGAAGTTCAGTCTTCAGCATAGCACAAATAATGACTGAAATAAGTGGTAAAACAACATACAGATGGGAAATCAGGGGAGTGATAAACACAATAAAGTAAATGGCATGACCTAAATTCACCAGAGATATAAACTGAGTAATCTAACGTTAAGAAATCACCTCTCACTGTCCTAAGTAAGTGGTTTCCTTATTAAGAGTGTTGATGTCCCCTGCCTTGGTTTGAAAGACAGGTGTCATCTAAAGAAAGCAGGAGCCTCCCTTGGAATGGAGAATATGACCCCTTTCTCTCCAAACTATTGTAACTTTGAAATGAGGCCCTTTCAGGCCGAGGTTTGGGAGAAGGAGTGCCAGTTCTTTACTAGTGTGTGTGTGTGTGTGTGTGTGTGTGAGCAGGCAGACACACAGCGGCAGTGCCGACACAGCAAACGGGAGCAGAGCCCAGCGCAGCTCTGCCCGCTCCTGGGGCGCTTTCCCCGTCGGGGCGGTTCCGCTCGCAGCCGGCAGGGGGCGCTGGTGGCTCCCGGCGGGCCGGGCGGGGCGGTGATTCCCCGCGCCTGCAGGGGGCGCTGTGGCGCGGCTCCCTCACGCCCTCATGGCGGCCGGGCTGGCAAAGGTGGGGCCCAGCGGGAGCAGCGGCTGGAACGTCAGGGCGGGCTCACCTGGGGCAGCAAGCGAGAGGCAGCAGAAACTCTGCAGCTGTAACTGGAACCTCAGGGTGTCCCTGCAGGCAAGGGGTGCGGAGCTGCAGTGTGACAAAACCTGCAGCTGTGGCAGCGGCAGCCCTGCTCCTGAACGCAGCCGGGAGAGGCTCCCTTAGAGGGGAAAGGGGCTCAAGGTCCCGGGGTTTTCCCTGAGGCACCTGAGCAGATGGTGGAAATTCTTTTTTTAGTGCAGTAGTGTGTTAATAAGATCCCAGTGTAATGGCAGCTCTTAGCTCTTATGGTAGAAGAAGGCAGGAGTTGATGGAACCCCGCAGTGGCGGTGAATTCTCCCCACAGCAACTGCAGCCTGTCTCTCCCTCCAAAGCCAACAGGGAAGAGAGCTAGGAGCAGTGCCCAAGCCCTTCCCCCAGCCCAAATCTCCAGGTATCTCTGCTGCTCCAAGAGAAAACCCTCAGATGAGAGAAGTGCAGGCGGGTGGCATCGTCCCCTGAGCATGGCAGCTTCTTTTGTCTCCCTAAGTACCAATTGTTAAGGTTTCTTAGCGAGAGATAGGACAAAATTCCATGACAGAAGAAAGCAAAAGGAAAAACCCTAACCTCCAAGCCCCTCCCATCTTTTAGAAATGTTAAATAGGATTTGGCACTATAATCCAGCCACCCCCAGTCTTTTTTAATGCATGCTGGCATCCATGGATATGATCTCAACAAATCTAGGCCCTTTTCAACTAGATCAGTTGGTCAGGCCCCTAGTTACCAACCTGACCTTGAACGTTGCCAGGCAGGAGATATCTACTAGCTCTCTGGAAAACCTGTGCCAATGTTTTATCATCCTCATCATAAAAACTAATTATATCTAACATAAATTGTCCCTCTTTCAGTTTTAAACTATCATCCCTTGTCCTATCACAACAGATTCTACTGAAAGTTTTGTCCCCATGTTACTTGTAGGCCTCTTTCAGTTATTGACAGGCTGCAATGAGGTCTCTCTGGAGCTGTCTCTTCCCCTGGCTGAACAGCTTGAGCTCTCTCAGTCTGTCTTCATAGAAGACAGTCCTCAGTCCTTTGGTAGACCTGCTATGGACCTGATCTAACAGGTTCATGTCTTTCCTGTGCTGAGGACCCCAGAGCTAGACAAACAGTCATGATGGATCTCATCACAGTGGATCAGAAAGGCAGAATAATGCAACCTGCTGGCCACTCTTCTTTTAATGCAGCCATGGATACAACTGGTTTTCTGGGCTGAAGGTGCACATTGTCAGATCATGTCCACCTTTTCACTCACCAGCACACCCATGTCCTTTTTTGCAGAGCTGCTCTCAAGGAGTTCTTCTCCCAGTCTATATTTATGTCTGGTGCTGCCCCAACCCAGGTGCAGCACCTTACTCTTAGCCCTGATAAACCTCAGGAGTTTCTCGTAGGCTTACTTCTTGAGCTTGGCCAAGTCCCTCTGGATGGCATCCTGTCCCCAGGAATGTTAACTGCATAACTCTGCTTGATGTTATCTGCAAATTTGCTAGGAGTGCACTTGATCCCTTTGTCTGTGTCATTGATACAGACATTAAACATCACTATCCCCAGTACAAACCCCTGAGGGACCCCACTTATCACTGATCTCCATCCATTGAGCCCCTGACCTCTAGACACAACCATCCAACCAATTTCTCATTCACTAAAGAGGCTATCCATCAAAGCCATATCTCTTCATTTAGCGAGAAGGGTACTATGGAAAACCATATCATAAGCTGTGCAGAAATACAGATGAATGATATTAATGGCTTTTCCCTTGCTCACTGATGTAGTCATTCCATAATAGGTTTGCTCTCCACAATGAAGTCTTCCTTTCAGTTGCCCACAGCCAGTGCTCTGCAGCCCAAGTGCAGTACTCCTAGATTTCTAGTGCTGTGGGAATGGGCAGGTAGCAGTGAGCCACTTATCCATGTCATCCCAGGAACAAGCTCTTCTCTTTCTTACACAGCTTGCCCAGAAAATAAGGCTGGATAGTTTTCTAAAAAGTGTGAACCACAGGAACAGTAACAAGTGTCCTTATTTCAGTGAGAGCTCACTGTCAGACTGTTGCAATGCCCTGGAAAATACCTTCTCTCACACTGTTCCTGAATCTGTCTTCTCTGCCTCAAAAAGCTAAGCACTCATCCTTATAATACCTCAAAACCATGCCGTCTAATCTGTGCATGCCACTCAAAACACAGCTCACACACCTTGTCACTGCTGCCACTTGGGACAAAACAATGTACGGTGCTAATCACAGCTGTAGGGCTTGGACACACAGCATGGGTTGTAACATGGAGACCAGGGAGTCCCAGCAAGAGCTCTGGCAGCTTCACGTCGGGAGCAAAGAAGGTATGACGTGAGTGTAGGAGACTAGCATCCTTTGGGTCTAAAGAGAAATTCTCATGTGCACTCAAGTGATTTTGCACTCAAGGTGGATTATGGGTCTTCACCACCACAGCCAACACAACCAAAGGAAGAGCGTCTCTACAAAATGAACTATGCTAAAGTGTTGCCAGGGGTTGGCAGGAGGGAATTCAGGGGTGGTTTCCATGAGTATATCTCAGGGACATGCCCAGCATGGATTGTTCCAGACAGTGATAAAATGGCATCCCCACTGGTCAGAGGTGAGTGGTCCATCAATCCAGCTAGTAGTGCCTTTGGAGAAAATATGGGTAAAAAGCATCTCTCATACTAGTTTTGAGAGAGGAGAGTGAGAAAAACATGACAGCAACAGCCCTGCAGACACCAAAGTCAGTGCAGAAGGAGAGGGAGGGGGTGGTCCAGATGGTGGAGCAGAGGCTACACTGGGTAAAGACCATGGAGAAGGAGATGTCAACCCATCACAGCAAATATTTATTCTTTGACTGAACCACCAGAAAAATACTGTTGGTGTTTAGATACATGGGGGATAAAACACCTGTTTTCTTTGTTCAGAGAAGTCCATGGACATCTTCCAACTGCCTTTGAGAAATGTATTACAAAAGTGGCAGTCTGGAAAAATTCTAACTTGGCTAAACCTACAACATCTTGTACTAGCCTCTAGATTTGTTACCATTCAAAAAACCATCTAGAGTAATTTCCTACTTTTTCTTATATAGAGTAATTTCTTATATAGAGTAATTTCTCACCTTTCCTTCTTTTGCCACAGCAGGAATCCAGGACTATATTACATTGAAAGAGTGTGTATTTTATGTTATACAGTGATGAAAGTCAAATGCTTCTGTTTTTCTACTGCTCATCTGAATAACATTAAGATAGACAATTTAAGTGGTCATCATAAATTTGAGAAAATAATTCTTTTTTTCAAAAACACTGGAAAGTGTCCTTAGTCGTAGCAGTTTATATCTAACTTTTCTTACAGAAAGCTGTGCTGAAATTACTACAGCAATTATCTCAGCAAGAGTACACCACTACCTAATCAGAATCAGGCAATGTAACACAATTAGTTCAAACACTAGTCCTCTGTTTCCAGTGTATTCTGCAAGCCCACATCAGTGTACATGTTGCTGTGGAAATGCAGAAGTCCTGCTAATGCCAAAAATATTTACCTCATCCCACTTACACTCTCAGAGATTCATGCAGCTGCTTATGAGGTAGATGTGTTGTATGTATCATTGACCACATGAGCTGTGGTTTATTAGATTCTCCCAAAGGTCCCTGTGGGCCAGATTACATCTCCCATGAAGTCTGCAGTCAGACAGAAGTGGGCTGTTAGCTGGGAGAAGGACGACAGCGCATCAGGAGAAATGAGCAGAGCAATACTCCCTAGCAGCATCTTGCCACAGTAGGGGGATTCATCCTAATTTACTTAATAAAAATATTTGGGGTTGTTTGAACAAAACAAAATATTTCAAAGCTATTTGGGCTGACCTTATGTAAAACATTAACATGTCATGTCTGAGACAAATGGAAAACTTCCGGATGCAATGTAATTTTTTAGAAACTAGACTTCATATTGTAGAGCTATTTTTAAAATCCTGACTAGCTTCTTTGGCCAAAAGGAGCCTGTCATTTTTTTACTCATGAGTGTATTTCAAATGCTATAAACATGGACTTTTACTAGGAAGATAACATCACGTTAAAATTCTAATTAAAGCAAACAAGAGCTGAAAGTGCTTAGCGTAGGGCTTTTTATTCTAGATTAGCCAAGTCATCAATTTAAAACAGGAACAGGCCAAACAAATATGACAAAGTAGAAATGAAAAAATGTCTTTTAGATACACTCTGCCATTTATTCAAAGCAGACCAAGCAGAACACCTGGCTCCTTAATATAGAACAGTAGTTGGGTCATCTCCATTAAGGGAAATTGATTTCAGCAGAGATGATCTTGGGAAAAAAAAGTAATTTCCAAAACAAGTCATATGGAATCACTTGCTGTTCCCTCCTCTTCTTTTTCAAATCTGCTCCAGGGAAAAAATTTCAGGAGCATTCAAACATAGTTTTAAATGTAGCTTCCTTGTGTCTGCTTCCAACAGAATTCTTCATGATCCACTTCTGATTAAAGGATCTGTTCCCATCAGGTTTATACAAACATCACATTTTACAGTTGCCATATTCCAGTTCCAATTTCTTCAGCTACTGTTGGTCTCATTATTCTTCACCTCCTGTAAAAGAAATTACTGCTTCATATGAATCACTCATTTAATGTCCAAATTCAGCTAAAACAATTGCTGCAGAAGGAATGAAAAATGAAGATCTCAAAGTTATCTGATTTTATTATTAGTTAGTTATTTGGTTTTAATCATTGAGTCTGGTTCTGTGACACAATTAAAAGCTTTTCCCCATTCATTAATGTTCACACTACTGCTGAATTCAGTTTCAGTTTCAGTGGTTGGTAAAGAGTCCAGCATCTTGTGAGGTCAAATATTTTCTTGATCACATAGGCAGAGATGAATTTGGGTAGGAAACCAAAAGTGCAAGTTGGGTGATAAAACTTCTGCCTTCGCAGAAAACAGAACCTTCAGCAGAATCAGACTGATCTCTGCCATGACATTTCAAGAAATCCAAATTCACATCTTAGAACTGCATGGGTGTTGTGTAGCCACCTTAAATGAATCATTATTCTGTAAACACAAGAGAAATTAAATGGCTTTCTTCACCTTTTTTCTGCCTTGCCTTCTTGTCTGTCTTGCTTCTGTGCACCATATGCTTCTCAGGAAGGACAAATCTAATTTCCCAGAAAGTTTCTGAGAATGGTTAAGGTTGGAAGGAACCACTGGAGCTCCAACCTTGAGCTCAAACAGGGCTATCTACAGCAGGTTTCCAGGTCCATATCCAGAGAGCTTCTGAAGATCTCCAAGGAAGAAGATTCTACCATCTTTCTGAGATACCTATGCCAGTGAAAAGTCAGAGTATATACAAATTTTAGAAATGTTTTTTAAGCTTCTTAAGTAAGCTTATAGGAAATTTATGCATTGCCTAGCACAAAGAGCCATCTCCTTGTCTGGTGGAAAAGTAATGGCTATCTAAAATGAAGGACAAGAACAGCACTAGGGTTTGCAATCATGGCAGTGTTGGGGAATATAGAAACAAGTAACATCAGTACAAGCTTATGCATGTAATTGTATTGTCACACATAAGGAATTATAACGTTTTTCTGCTTAACAGTATTTGAACCACTTCAGTTGCTCCTCAACAGCTGGTCAGCAGTAGGATGCAGGGTTCAGTGCATGCCTAAGAAGGGCTTGAAAATCACTATTCTAACATTGTCCAAGGAAGCATACCCATTACTGATATGAGATGGCGCATACTAAGTTTTACTGCTGTAAAACAGATGTAAACATGCAGATCGTGTGTTATCTCAGACATATCCATTCTAGCTTCAAATATGGCAGAAAATCAAGGTGGTTTTTGGCCAGGCAGAGGTCTGCAGGAATGTAACTGTTTTGTTGGAAGTCTGGGGTCTAGGGTTGTGCTCTGAGCATCAGTGGAAAAGTCACCTTTTCTCTCTAAGCATGCTTCCTTCACGTAGTTGCCTATGTGGATTGCAGGTAATGTGGGGCTAGGTTTACAGTCCAGATGGTAGCTTTTAGTAATAGTTTGGGCTGCAGTCTTTCCTTTATAATTCAAATAGGGATTTTGCATTAAATTGTTCACAAAGTCTTCTTCTAAAGACTTAGACTTTGGGTTTCAGAGGGGAAGGGGAAGGG